TTCATGCACTACATTTCAATAACCAATTAGGTTATTAAGTGAAACCAGTAATCACATTAAATTTGGAATACAGCTTATTCATAACTGCTCAAAGTAATTATTCTAGAGTTAAAGCAAGCACATGAGTAACACCCAGACTTGGCACGTTTTTATATGAACATATTTGGCAGCTAACAACCAGCCCAAATGTCTTACTAATCTGTGAAAATACTTCTTTCAGATCAATGGCTTCCCTCTGTAAATAATGCAGGGCCCTGGGCCTCCTCTAACAGTGTATTAATATATTAACCACACACAGGATTGAGTAGAGTCCAGAAAAAAAAAGTATTACATTCTAGTCTTAAAATTAGTTCTATTGCACAGATCTCTAAACATTTTTTTTTTTTGGAAACAAGGTTTACTGTAGAACTTTGGCTGGCCTGGAACTCACTTTGTAAACCGCAGTAGCCTCAAACATACAGAGATCCACCCATGTCTGCCTCCCAAATCCTGAGTCTAAAGGCGTGTACCACCACTAGCCTGTCAGTCCTTTTAATACACGAAGACATATGCAAGTTGTATAAGCAAAGGGTGCATCCACAAACTCTCATGAAAAACTAGCCCCAAATTAGATCCAGCACATAAGAAATTATTTTAGAAATGCTCCCACCCCAAAATTAAGCCTACAAATAAAAGCTTATGAATTTAGAGCAGAGATGAACACATAACAAAACACTCACCAAGTAAGATTTAATGTTCCACATTCAAAATCCAAATCTAATATATAATTCAGAATTCTAATGTGTGCACACATGACCAATTCCTGCAAAAGCTGAGGAGCGTGGCCTGAGTCATGCCCATGAGGATAGGCGCTCTCTGGAGGAGGAACAGAGGCAAGTCAGGGTAAGCCTTGCCCTGTGCCCTAAGCTCTACTGGGTTCAGGAAGGCTCTCCCATGGTTCTGATGGAGACATTGGGGCTTCTCTAAACACATGACACCAAGGGATAAAGTGCACACTCAGGCCTTACAGATGTTCCTGAAGCACAGGGCCTCAGCCAAGAGAGAAGTCTATGTGACATCTGAACTAATCACTCTGAGTCCCCACCATTAGGCATTCCCAGGATACTACCCATAACAGCACCAGGTTTTCCTTAAAGAACAGGGCTGCAGAATTGGAGATAGTTCAGTGGGTAACAGTCACAGCCTGAGGGCCTCAGTTCAGGTCCTCAGATCCTACAAAAAGAGCTGGGTATGGTGGCTTAAGCTTCTGTAATCTGAATTTGTGCCTAAATTGGCAGAAGGAGACAGTGCATAGGAGCTGGGGAGAAAATGGCTGCATTTTAATTTCAAATAAGAACCTAACAGGAGAGTTTCCCTGTCTATTTCTACCTACATAAGCTCCACACTCAGCACACATCCAAACCCGTAACAATTGGATAAATAGACGGAGATGGGTGCTGCAGGCAGGGCCACTGTAACGGGAGGAGTCAAATCTGCTCTTTAATGCAGCAATACATAAACAGCAGAGCAGCGCCTAGCTGCTTCACAGGGCAAGCATGATGAATACCTGTGAGACCTGCACTGGTCCACCCAGGCCTAGCTTCTCAGCTCAGGGACTGCAGGTCAGGACGGTCAAACTCAAAATGCACCAAGGAGATGACCCTGTAAACTCTCTCGCCACTCATTCAAGTATTGCTGGTCAGTCACTAAACCCAGTCTGAACAGAATGTCCTTCTAACCTACCGACTTGGGGTCTATACATCCAAAGTGATGGTTTTCTAAGTTCCCAACTGTGCTTGTATGCATAAATGTTGGAGTTTTATACACTTATATATACCCTGAACCTCTCTTAATTAAAAATACAAACTTATGTAATCTTCAAATATAGAGTTTCTACCTTTGCCAAGTCACTTTTGAACAACCACAATTCAGTAGCTATCTGCCACCTTATTCACAATGTCATGCAGATACATGTGTCAGGAATAAAGGCTGCCTGGTCCAGTTCATGTTCAGAAGAAACCACTATGACCAAGACAGCCAAGAAAAATGTTTTTTGAGTAAAGCTGCGTCGATGGCTCAGCATTAAGAACACATGCTGTTCTTACAAAGGATGTGATCTTGGTCCCCAGCATCCTAAGAGCTCACAGCCACTCATAACTGCACTTTCAAGAGACCTGACAGCTTCTGGACTCCATGGGTATGGTGTATAAACAGAAAGCAGGACACAGATGCAATTCTTTTAAAGTATTTCTTTAAAACTTTTTAAAGCAAAGGTCATCTTGGCTCAGTAGCTTTGAAGGGGCCCCTGGATTAGTTCATTAGAATCACCTGACTTTTTCACAATGGATGGGGGCAACATTCAGAAGTGTCCCTCTCCTGCTGGACCTGGTTGTGAAGGCCTGTAATCTCAGCTACTTGGGAGACTGCGGCAGGAGGATTAAAAATGTAAGGCCAGCTTGTGCTCCAGAGTGAGTCCAAGACACTGCAGTGTTGCTCACTGGAAAAGTGCTTACCTCACACTATGCATAGATTCAACCTTTAATACTACAAAAGCAAAAAAAAAAAAAAATTTCCTCAGAACACACGTAGCAAAATAATTGGTGTCAGAATGCTGTCAGTAAATACATATGTGTACAAAGTGGGTGGTTAAAGTTCAGCAAGGTCAACGGGGGCTCACCAGGCTTGGCACCTTAAGCTGCTAAAAGAATGTAGAAGGGCAAAGAACCTCCCCTGACCCAACACCTGTTCCCCACCCACCTAAGATGAGTGACAGGAGAGATAAGATTGACAGGCAGCATGTGGTTCTGGTTCACTGGTCCCTGAGGGTGCTAAGACTCCATACAGAACTCCTAAAGGGCTGGGGGAATGCCTTGTGTGCCCAGTTTTGATGCCTCTGAGCACCTAGTGCAGCAGACACCAGGTAGCGCACTATGCAAATCTAATGTCAGACTCACTCGGGCTCCTATCAAGGAAAAGCAGCATCTCTGTCTGCTTGTCCTCCTCCCCACTGAAGACACAACAGCTCTGCAGTGGGCTCCTCTGCCCATAAGCACCCACCTCAAGTAACAGCAACAGTCCCAAAGAGCTGCAAGACAAGAGAGCATGCTGGCCACATCCAGCTGCAGGCTCACACCGTAAGCACCGCCCTTCCTCACAGCAACTGCCCGCCCACGGCAAAGTAACAAAGGCAACAGCAAATGCTTGGAGTTTGATTTTTAAAATGAGAAAATCATAAAACATCAAGCCAGGGGTCTGAAAACATTTTCATGGCTGCTGTTTGAAAAGAAATCTGATGCCAGGCGGTGGTGGCGCACGCCTTTAATCCCAGCACTTGGGAGGCAGAGGCAAGCGGATTTCTGAGTTCGAGAGTTCGAGGCTAGCCTGGTCTACAGAGTGAGGTCCAGGACACCCAGGACTACACAGAGAAACCCTGTCTCGAAAAACCAAAAAAAAAGGGGGAGGGGGGCTATCTGAATCTGGAGAGATTAATTATAACTACAGAGAGATTCTAAGTTAGCCTTTACCCAGATGTCTGGCAGTGAGAGTGGAGGAGAAAAATGTATGTACATGAGCATGTATAGTGAGTGTGTGTGTGTGTGTGTGTGTGTGTGTGTGTGTGTGTGTGTTTGTGAGCACTTGTGCATGTGTATACAAGAACAAGCACATGACAACATGACATGTATTTGGTACATACTAAATATGTGGGTATGTATGATTACATATCAGTAAGTGTTATGTGTTTATAGTCTCTACATGTGTGTATTGATGCATATGTTGCAATATGTACATTTATGTATTCATGTGCATTTGTGCTTATCTGTGTGTGAGCAAGTATACATACATATTTTTGGTGTCTATTTGGGCTTCCTCGCATGTGTGTTCACATTCATGTTTGTGTATATGCATGTTTTTTATATATGCATGTGTCTGGGGTTTCTATGTATAGTGTTTCTATGCCTGTGTGATGTATGCATGTTCATGTTTGTGCAGAGTAAGTGTGTATTTTGGGGTGTATGGTATGTCTGAATATGTGATGTGTACATGTGTGCATGTATCCTTTGCATGTGTGTTTGTGTATGTGTGTTTGCAGTATCTGCCTTAGTCACTGTTCTGCTGCTGTGGAGGGACCCCCATGACCACAGCAACTCCTATAGAAGAAAGCATTTAATTGGAGCTTGCTTACAGTGTCAGAGATTTAGCCCATTATTATCAGAGTGGGGAGCGTGGTGACATGCAGACAGGCACTGGAGCTGAGAGCTCCACATCCTGATCCACAGGCAGGAGAGAGCACCAGGGACCCCAGTGACACACTTCCTCCAACAATGCCACACCCACTTCAACAAGTCCACACCTTTTAATCCTTCTAACACTTTCAAATACTGCCACAGCTGATAACTAAGCTTTCAAATACATGAGCCTATGGGGGCCATTCTTTCAAACCACCATACTATCTACGGCCTGTTTCCATGAATGTGTGTGTCATATATGTATGTGATGAGTACATGTATGCATGTGTATGTGCATGTCTGTGTATATGAATGTGTGATTGTACATGCACAAGTATGTTTATGGTTTTAGTGTGTTGGTGTTTACATGTGGTATAGTTTGCATGTATTCTAAGCATGCACAAGTGTGTGAATATTTGTGTCATGCATAGGGAACAAAAGGACATTTCAGAGGACTTACTCATTACTTACAGATTACAGAGACCTTAGACTTAAGAAACCAAACGTGTTAATGAAATAATTAATAATTCAGCATTTGTAGGTGAGTAGCAAAAAGGAGAGAGATAGGAGGAACCAACAGTGTCAGTTAGCCAGTACAAGCCTCCAGGACCCAATAGTTGCAGGATGCCTGATGCACAGCCTCTGAGCCAGAACCAGAAATAGGGCACTAGGTCACCAAAACATAGGAGCACCTGAGGACATAGTTCCTCCACCTACACTGCTTGGGTACAGGGCCAGCTAGGCAAAGGGCTGCACGGGCTACTTGACCTCATCCACCCAGGTCCGTCTGCTCACCTGATGCGGGTTCAGGCACAGCCTCTTCACCACTATCATCCACCACTTCTTCAGCCAGGCCAGGGGAGTCAGCAATGGCGCAGGCTGAGCCAGGGCTGCTTGGCTGGGAAGCCGAATCCCCCTCGCTGAGTGAACCACAGCGGGCACGGACTGCCCTGTCCCCTTCAGGATCCCTGTCGCGGCGTGCGCGGCGGTGCACACGGGAGTGGAGCACCATCTGGTGGTAGGTGCGGAAGATCTTGCCGCACTCGAAGCACTCAGAGGACTTGCCCTGGCCAGTGGTGGCCGCCGCCCTGCGGTTGGGGCGTGAGGCTGGCCGGGGGTCAAGGTGGCCAGAAAGCATGGGGTCCCCAGGTACACTGGCCCTCTTCCTTGGAGGAGCTTGGGTAGAAGGAGCATCCTGTTCTCGCTTACGTTTTTCCTGGCTCACCAGTATATACTCTCGCTTGTCTTTGTCAAAGGCTACATCCCCTGCCAGGGCCTCATCCCAGGTCCCATACTTGAGGTACTCAGCCGGCTCAGCCACCTTACCCCTGGTGGCTAGCTGCCAGGCCTGATAGCTGTTGACAGGGTCCAACTCAGCCACCCGCTGTCCAGCCTGCCCACTGGGGGACACATCACCAGCCACATATGGTGTCAGGTTCAGGCACTGTAAGAAGAACTGCTTAGTGTCCAGGGGGTCCTCTGTGTCCCCCTCCTCAGCCGGGGCTCGTATCCGGCTGGCTTCAACTTTACGGTGTATGGCGTTATGGGCGTTCAAGCTGTCCAGGTTTGTAAACAGGTTCCCGCACTTTGTGCAGACCTCATAGAGGGACAGGCCAGCGACAATGACCTCCTCCTGCACCACGTTGTTGATGGTGGCAATGGGGTCCAGCTCACTCTTGGGTCTGTTCTTGCTTCCTGCCTTGGGTCCATGTGCCTTCATATGGTTCTTGAGGAACCAAGGCTCTTTGAATCTCCGGCCGCAGATGTGGCAGCCATGGTCAAAGGAGCCCCGGTGTTTCTTCATGTGTGCCTTCAGGAACCAGGTCTGGCTGAAGGCCTGGCCACAGACCTCGCAGGGAAACTCCCCAGGGCTCAGCTCAGGTTTGCCATTCTCCACACAGGCCTCGCTGCCATTGGGCACCTGTGCAGTGATATGGTCCCTCTCGATGTGACTAAGCAGAGACTCCTCCCGCAGGGTGACATAGCTGCACAACCTGCACTTAAACGGCTTGTGGGCCTGGTGCACATGCAGCTCCAGGTCCTTCTTACGCTCAAACCGGCTCTTACAGAAGGAGCACGGCACCATGGCCTCAGTGTCTTCCTGAGCACTGGCCGCACCCTCTACCTCCTTGCGGCTGCTTCTGAGCAGAATCTTGCTGCCATCCATCGGCACAGCTCCGTTCAGGACACGGTTGCAGGCAGAGGTGCTCTTAGTAGGGCTGGCACACCCATCCAGGCCCTCAGAGACACGCATCTCACCCAGCTGAGCCTCTCCCGCCTCTGGCTCGTGCCCCTGAATCAACGTCCCTGTCCGGTGGCTGCGGATATGAATCTTGAGGTTGCCCTTCTGGGAAGCCCTGTGGTCACAGTAGGGACACTTGTAGGGCTTCTCTCCTGTGTGCTTGCGCATGTGCTGTGACAGAGAGCTCTGGAAAGGAAAGCTCTTGCCACAGATGCAACAGCTGTGGCAGGCGGCCTTGTCCCCGTCTACTTCATGGCTCCTGCTAGCCCTAGGTGGGCTGGGTCCTCTCCTCAGCTCCATCTCAGCCTCTCTGCTGCGATCCATTAGGACAGAATGAGTGTCCCGGCACAGCCTTGTGTCGTAGGGGCCTGAAGTGTTTTATCTCTCCATTTTTAGAAGGGTTCCTGCTGCCCAGAGGGGAGAGAGGTACTTGTGATGAGTAGGTGCATATTCTGTGATGTGGCAGATGCAGCAAGCACCTGTAACAGAGAGAGACAGAAACCCGTAAGGACAGCATCCATGCAACTGAGTGCAGCGTCGCCTGTGGTCAGTCTCTGCATACTCCACCATCAATCAATCTGAACTAAAGGAAAAGGACACTCACGGAAACACAAACAGAGCCATTTGCCCCTTTAAAGGTCAGTAATCAAAATTAATAGTTCATGCTAAAATAAGTAACTTCTATCTCACCTCTATCAAAAGAGTAAATCGTTAAGAAACCCTACAGAAGTGTGTTTATTGACAGGAATGTGAAGAAAAGGAGGCTTCCACACAAGAGGATGTAAGACAACACACATCAAAGAGACGGTGAATAGGAGGCAGAGTCTGGCTGGATCTGAAGTCCACCGTCCCTGAGTTTCAGAGGTTAACAGCTGACAGTAGCTAAAACACTTCGGTTGGTTCCAACACTGAGGAGGCAAGCCCTCTTAGGAACATACAGGGACGAAATGCAGAAATACCCCAACAGCTGAGGCCATGGAACTAGACACTCTGTGGCAGCTACCCTGTCCAGGGTACGTGTACAAGTGCTGGTGACAGAGAAGCCACAAACCATGCTACCACACTTATCTGCCCTACAGTTTTACATTTTCTCTCCCACGTGGACTCCTTGCTCATATGTATTCAAAGGGATCCCAAGCACCAGCCACAGGACTGAGTCCTGACTCCAGGAAGGATGCCTCTGACCACAAGGTACTGTGGTTTTCCTTCCTGTTTCACTGTGTCCTCAGGGGTCAGAGTCAAACGTACACTAACAATGACCAAAAGATAGTGCCCAAGCCTTGCTAAGTCTACACAGCATCACAGAGTATGTATGACCAGTCCGTCTCCATGCCTATCCCACCAGAGAATAACAGGCAGGTCCTCCCTGGGTCCTACCCACTACATGACAACCACCCAACCCTGACTGCTGACAGCCTAAATGCTTATGTCCAGTGCAGAGCAGGATATGATGCTTCGACAGAGAGGGGTGGGGGAGGGAGGGAGGGGGGAGAGGATATGAATTAATTCACATGTGCAGAATTTTACAAAACATCAAGTTTTTCATTTTGTCTAGCAGGGTGCTGATACCTGTCTTAATCAAACACACAATGTCTCTTCCTAAAGAACCTTAGGTACCAGCTCCTCGTGTGCTCTGGGTACCCCTGAACCTATTCACTGCAGTGAGCCGGGAAAGAAACGAGCAGCCAACAGGGGGAGCACGTGCTGCAAACCACTGGGTATGGCAGGCGTCCTCCAAGCACCCTCCCAGGAACTGCGGATTCTGAGTGCTGCATGACCACAAACACGCCACAAGGTAGAAATCTGAAAGTGACCTTGAAACACACATGGAGCTGAGGAGAGAACCCACACGACCCAGGGCTGGCAGAGGCCATGAGATGGACTGGGACGAGACTGCTTGCCACAGAACAGTTGCTGCTTCTGTTGGAAGGGCTTTCCCCTCGAGGCCTGCTGTTATGGTACATGCTTAAGCATGCAGGGGAGAAGCCCCCTACAGGTCTCTAGGAACCTAAGTGAACACAGGCAGGCCAGGCTGGACAGCGCCCCCTACAGGTCTCCAAGAAACCTAAAAGGACACAGGCAGGCCAGGTTAGACAGCGCCCCCTACAGGTCTCTAGGACAACTAAACAAGCATATGGAGGCTAAGCTAGGCAGCCTCTGCAAGGCATGCCTTCCTGGTCCTCTACAGACTACCCAGCAGAGCCAAACAGCAGATGCAGAGCACAAAGCTCACTGGCCCCAAAAGTAAAGCAAAATTATAAGCTTCTTGACCATGCCTCAAGGACAAGCCAATTTAAATAATTTTATCAAGACACTTTATATGGCTGTATAGTTATTTACAATGATGTAATATAAAAGGCAAATGACTCCTAGGAAGCACCACCTTCTTCTCCCAGACATTACTTTATACCTGAAAATGCTAAATGAGAAACATATAAAAATGTGAATGAAAAAGTATGTACGTGTAACTTAAAGACAAAATTGAGTATAAAAACCTTGTACATTTAAAGAATTAGCAATGAATTATATAGTGATAAATTACGGAGAAGAAAACCACAATCTTGGATGTGAATGGACCCGAAGTAACTTCAGTTCCAGTGTAGTAACATATGTCCATCAATGGTGTCTCACTCCATTCAGCTACCCAAAAGAATTGAAAGTCACACCAAAAGCCTTAGACAAGACTTGGAAAAATAGCCACAGGCAAGCAGGGACCACAGAGGCAGCCCACAGGGGCACCTAGAGTAAACAGGAACCTTTGCAGCATGAAGACCTACAGGTGAAGGTGCAAGTGCAGGTGCAGGTACAGGTGCAGGTGCAGCAGGTACAGGTGCAGGTTCAGGTGTCACCACCAACACGTGCTCCAAAGACACCTGTTCAGCCTCAGCCAGGGGTCAGGTGTGGACTCCTACCTCTGCGACTGCACTACACAGCTAGTTTGGTCCTCTGCCCCTCCCCTATTCTGTACCTCACACTGATGGTACATCTCCTACCTGCTGGGGATATAAGGAAATAACAAACAGAGCCATGAGTACCCAGAGGACCTACAAAAAGCTCTGTGTGGCTTTGCTCACCCACTCCTCCCTACGCCCTAAATGCTCAGTCTGACTCCAACCTTCCCAACCCATCACAGTTGGACACCTGCCTTCACCAGCCCAGAGATGGTAGGAGAGGGGGAAGCTTCCATTTTCTACCTAGCCATCCCCCAAACTACCTTACAGCTCTACCCAGGACTATCAAGTCCCATAAGGAAGGGGAAGGCACTCACTCAGGGTAGGGCCTCTGTGCTACAGGTAGTACAGCCTTCCTCCTCAGTAAGAAGACCTGAAATCAAGTCCAGAAGACCCACCAGACAGGGCTTCAGAGCACTACCCACCAGACAGGACTTCAGAGCACTAGCCACCAGACAGGGCTTCAGAGAGCTACCCACCAGACAGGGCTTCAGAGCACTACCCACCAGACAGACAGGGCTTCAGAGCACTACCCACCAGATAGACAGGGCTTCAGAGCACTACCCATTAGACAGACAGGGCTTCAGAGCACTACCCATTAGATAGACAGGGCTTCAGAGCACTACCCATTAGACAGACAGGACTTCAGAGCACTACCCACCAGACAGACAGGGCTTCAGAGCACTAACCATTAGACAGACAGGGCTTCAGCACACTACTACTGAAGAGAAAGTAAGAGCCGTGCAGAAGTGAAGCGTGGCCATAGGCAAGCCCACTCACCATCAGCCAAGGAACGCTGCATGGGGAGCTGGCCACTCTGACCAGAGGCTGGGCAATGCTCCTTCTAATGCAGGCTGGAGACCAAGGCCTTGTTCCACCACAGATCCTCATGGGATCACTAAGGGGCCAAACCAATGTATCTCTGAACTCGTTTCTGGCTACAGGTACAAACTGCTATTAATCAGAGGTGTCGATTGCAAAACCAACCATAGATGCTGATTGCAGATTCTGATGGCTTAGCTGAAGCAATCACAGTGGTGTATGCCACACAACCTAATGTCCTTAAAGCCCAAGGTCACAGTGGCGAGGACAGTCTCCAACGATTTAGCCATCACATTCTTAGCTGATGAGCAATGGCTCGCATCCATGTGGTACCTGTGACTAAGTAGGGTCTACCAAACAGTCAAGACCATCTGGTTAGCCAGAACGTCCACAAAGCACCTCAACTAGCCTTGTCAAACCAACAGATGCTAGCTGACTACCTAAGCCAGGGCGACTTAGCAGTCCACAGCTACACAATCATGGGGGTGGGGGTGGGGGGTTTACCCGAAATGGTGTGTTCTGCTGGTGTGAGGGCAGCAGGCTCATGTGACACACTTTACGGGTTTTACATAATATATACCTGTTTTTCCCAAGGTTATTAGACAAGCAAGGCTCTGATGTTTTGTTTTGGCTATTTGGAATTTTAAAAGAGATTTCCAATAGGCCTCTGCTCTGTGCTTAAGTTTCTCTGGAGGCACAGAGAATACTGTTTAAGAAGTGCTATGTATAATTTCTAAATAGTACATATAATTTCTAAATAGTGTATTTCATTTTATAAAAGCTGGATAATTAGTCTTAAAAATAAGGCAAAGTAAAATATTAATGCATCTTAGGTAAAAGCACATGATAGGGATGAAGAGAATACGAAGAGAAATACAGAAAGGAAAACACACAGCTGCACTGTGAGATAATTTCTAGACATAGCACAACCCCAGCCCAGGCTGGACGGCACCAAGGTGTCACACACAAACAGCTTCCTCTGACCCTTTACCACCTGGACAATGACTCTCCCTGGACCTAGGACCATTAGGATGCCACACCCCAGACAGAGAGCTCTTCCTGTTCCCCCGTCACCCAGCGGACTCAGCCAGGTGGAGTGACTGGCCAGGTACCACACTCCACAGACTGGGAACAAAGGGAACTTCTGGGCCCCATACCAAACACATATCCTTTTGATGAGGAGTCTACACCCCACAGCACAGATACGTCACTCCCTACTCACCCTCGCACTGATCATCAGCCACAGGTGGACCTGGGGTCACTCTGAGGCTGGGAGGAATGGAACCCAAAATGAAACCCTAGCCACTCGTGGGAAAGGCAATGCATTGCAACTGAGCTACATGCCAGTTACAGAACAATGTGAGAGTCACTCTCAGCACCCCAAGACTGACCACATCCTCCCCAAGTGTCCACCTAGAGTAACCACAAGCACAGCACTCGGCTCCTAGGTGAGCAGAAAATGCTTGGAAAAGCAGGAACTGAGCAAGTGAAGGTGAACAGAGGGTGCTCCATGGTTAAAGGTGAAACTGACCGAAAGCCCAGTTACAAATGGCATGCTAATCATGTGTCGCTGGACCAGCTGGACAAGAGATGCTTCCAGAAGACCCAGATGGAGTGATGCTCCACCTGTAAGAACTGCCAAGCTCCCATGAGGAAATGACATCTGGGATTACAACCAGTGTGACTGGGCTCTGAGCACTAGGGCA